CTTTTATGTTTTCTACCTTATACACATATCTATTGCATGAATAACTAGGTGTTTGTTGTGTGATAACCTTAAGTTAGTTATTGTTTTATTTTCTGTTGCATGTGACTGAACTATAGTAAGTGTAGTGACCTACTAGTTCATTATAGTTATTCTCTCTCTCCCAATCACTTAATATGGACTATAATGCAAGGTTTTGATACTTTCCAATCAACAAAGAACATTTTGTCATGTTTAAATATTCTGGTCATGAGTACTTTGGTTAAATTGAAAGATTGTTATTAGGTTTCATGGGTTTCTTCTAGTTGATTTTTTTTCTTAGTAATATGATAATTTGATTCCACCATGATAAAATTGATTTTAAAAATATATTTATATGTTGAGATTTTTAAATTAAATTTTAAAAAAATAAATATTAGCTAATTTTTAAATATTTAATAATTTTAAAAATTAATAGTAGATAATATTTAATAATTTTAAATATATTTTTGAATATTCAATATTTAAAAACATGAAGAGATAAGAGATAAGACAAAATATATAAGTGAAGTAAGAAGATAAAAGTATGAGGAATTTCAAATTCTTACTCTTTTGGGAGAATTTGAAATTCTACTATTTCAAGGAATTTCACAAATGCTTGAATTTCAAATTCCTTATAAATTCCTCATCCAAACAAGGTATTTTACCTCAAAGAAATTGAAATTCTTCAAATAAATGAATTACTCCATGTAAATTCTCCATCCAAACACACTATTAATTTTTTTTATCTGTTCTAGCAACAAATTTATTATTATAAACCCTAAATTATTGAATTTGGAGTTTAATAAAATGAGTGATTATTTTGAAAGATCTCAAATAAAAATACGTCAATTAAATATGAGTGATTCTACCATGTTTAATGAATCACAAAACTCTTTTAATAGAATTGAGAAAGAGCTTAGTGATAATATTCCTCTTTGTTAATTGGGAAAGAAAGTATGTGGCAACGTGATAATTAATTGATGATTGATTATAAGACTAACAAAATTAGTAAATGAGTACAACAAAATAATTAACTTGCATAAAAGAAATAAAATTTAAGAACTCATATGTCACAAAGTTTTTAGAGACCTATCGGTATTCTCTACCATCTTTCAAAAACCAAATTGAATATTTACTTTATAAAAACCCATAAATAATTTTGTTCTATTAATGGAGACCATTAGATTCACACTACTCTTTAATTGTGGACTGCACGATATTCATATCTCAAATTTGTAGTTTTTTTTCTTCTAAAACAATTAAAATTTTAAAATTTCAAAGTCTAATTAATATTTTTTCAATTACACTGCTATTCAAAAGTATTTTCTCTAATAATTTTTCTCTTATTTTATACAAAAATGATACCGTGAAGTTAAGATAATGAAATATTTAAACAAAGTCTTTTAATCTAAATTTACATTTATAGAATATTTCTTAATTTATGCACATTAATTTAAAAATACTAAAAGTTTGAGAGACATGAAATATATTTTTTATGAAACTTCTAACATTATTCCCTTATGGTGTGTTTGGATGAAGAATTTTATAAATTCAAGGAATTTTAAATTCTTGGTATTTTAATTATTTTGATTTCAATTTCTATCATTCTTAAAATATTTTGTTTGGATAAGTCAATTCAAATTTATCAAATTTTAAATTGTTGGGTTGGATATGATAATTTGATTCCACCATGGTAAATTTGATTTTAAAAATATATTTATATGTTGAGATTTTTAAATTAAATTTTATAAAAATAAATATTAGCTAATTTTTAAATATTTAATAATTTTAAAAATTAATATTAGATAATATTTAATAATTTTATAAATATTCTTGAATATTTAATAATTAAAAATATGAAAAGATAAGATAAAATATATAAGTGAAATAAGAAGAAAAAAAATATGAGAAATTTTAAATTTTTACTTTTTTTTGGAGAATTTGAAATTTTACTATTTCAAGGAATTTCATAAATGCTTGAATTTCAAATTTTTTATAAATTCTCCATCCAAACAAAGTATTTCACCTCAAAGAATTTGAAATTCTTCAAATAAATAAATTACTTCATTTAAATTTCCCATCCAAACACACTATTAATGAATGAGAGAGAACATTGATTGATATTTGCTCACTTTACAAAATTTCTTCAAATATAGTTTTCCAAAAGTTGCATTTTGCACGTGTATATGTATTTGATTTGATTAGCACCTAAAAATGTGTTTGTTGTTGGTCATAATTAGAATGTAAAAAAGTCATCGTTGTCTGTGATACTGATAGCCACAACCCTTGTGATCTCTGCCGCTCATCAAGGTGAACCCTTGAAATTAAGTGACAAATACAAACGGCAATTGCGCTTACATAAAATAAAGTTCTGCTCACTTCAGAATGAGCAATAATTAATTCAAAAAATGAGCATTTTGAAAATAAATACTACTAAAAATTGGAGGCACTGTTATTTATCAACAAAATATCATGTATAATCGACAAATAATTGAGTTTCAATATACTTAAATCAACTTAGTAGTGAAAGTTCACAGGGTTATGTATTAAGATTTTCTTAACATCATTATGATTTCATTTTGATAAAGAAAATAGTTGAGTATTTTTTTTTTAGTATGTTGTTGAGGATTATGCATAGAGATCATTTTATAAGAAAAAGTAATTATATCCATCATCTTTATATCTTGAAATGTTTGATGGACAACCCTCCCTTATCCTGAAAAATCTCTTGGCGTTTAGGGACTATTAGTGGAGTAGTTATAATTAGATGAAATTGTTTATAATTTGGATTTGTGTAATAATTCTTTAGGTGTGTCTTTATTAATAGCTCCAACACACCATTAATTTCATGCTTGATGGTTTAGGTAGTGTCTTTCTATTATACCAATTTTTTTAACTACAAAAAACAAAAAATTAAATCTCTACACTATGAAAACAAATATATAAAATGTATCTATTTTCACTTTCATTTCGCATACATATTTTTTTTCTTCTAAAATACTTATCATAAAAGTTAATAGACTTATTATGTATGATGAATCATGATTAAGTGAAAATATTAAATTATTTTATATTTTTATTCAGTGATATATCACCATTAAATTCAATAAATAATATACCTTTTTATTAATTTTTTTTTAATTCCGTCGTGACCCAACAAAAACAACGACTCAAGACCAGACTATTAATTAAAGTTTCCTATATATCAATTTCATAAATTGAACTTTTACTAAATTACATATACAGATAGGTTGCAAGAACGAAGTCTCATAGTGCCATTTTTGGACCAATTATAAGTGTGATAGACATGCTTTCAGCTGAATTTTATCAATATAGTTGATGGATAATGAAAAGTGGAACCACTCATGTAGAGTGATATTGATTGATATTTTTTAATGCTTTACAAATTTGGGTCATTGAGTAGCAAGTAACCTTTACTTCAAATTTGCAGTGATAATTAATTGCTATACATTGCAAGTGGAGGTATAACAAAGACAATACCAATTAGAACGAAAATTTAACCAAAAATATATAAGAGACAATTTAAATTTTAAATGATTATTTTGCTTTTTGTTAGTGTATGTTCTATTTTGACAATATACCAGATTTAATGGCTATGATATTTAGTTCTTCTTTGCTTTTCCATAAGGAATAAGGATGTAATTAAAACAAGTTCAATCAAATTTTTAAATGCACAAAAACAGAACGTAACCCTTATGAGAAAGATGGCCACCCAACATTTCTTATTTTATATAGTTGAAACCTCTTTCGTTTAAGCCACGTGATTTCTTAAATTATTCAAATAGTTGTAATTTCTAAATTATTTATTTTAATAATAAGTAAAACTAGTTTTGAATTTTTATTAAATATAATAAAAATGTGCCTCTAATAAGTGCATATGAATATTTTGCCATGTATCATCTCATGTTTGCCTAAATTATCACGTGCCGCGAGCTCCGTTATCAGTTTTTGGATACTAAGTAGTTGTGATTTATAAATTATGTTTAATTGTTTATTAAGAACATATCATACATTTATTGTTTCACAACTATAGAGTTTTTATTAAAATTAGTTTTGCATACATTTTCAATTCTAATTCTTGAACCAATGGTTAATCTCAAGTCAAGATAGGAATCAAAGTTTGTAAAGATATTTCGAGTCCCACTAAAAGGTCGAAGAATATAATTAGAGCAGCTAAAAGAACATTTTATTAAAAGAGATATGAGTTTAATTTTGATAAATTGTTAATATAATTATTTTTTATTTCATCAATCAATTTCAAAATACTTTAAATATGGCAACTATAAATAATAAAATATACCAATATTTTTTTAGTTTCTCACCTATTTTTTCTTTCAAAAATTAATTATATTAAATATTTTTTAAATAAATTATAATATTAATACAAAATATTAGAAGCACATAGTTTATTTCGTATTTAAGGTAAAAATTAGAATCTTGAATAACATAACATAAAAACACAAAATATTATCACTTCTATCCACTAATTTTCATATGTTAAAGACATATGTTGAACACTAAATATGGTCAATTGTTTTTAAGAAGAGAATTGAATCTTAATTCACTGAATAAAACAAACTAATCTCTTCTATTATTACTTAAGTCCGTTGATTAATTAAATAATAATATGAAAACCTTTCACATTATTAATATTTTTAATCAAATTAAAAAAAAATTGTTAATATTATCCATCGTAATTTCTAGCATGTATTCTAAAAAAAATTACAGACTGCATGGATACGTACAAAATTAAAATCTTTTCAGACTCCCACCTGACTAGTCACACAAATAAAGATTTGATTCCTTTTAAATCGATTCATCTATTAATAAAAAAAAATGATCCATCTAACTCACTCTGATTAGTCACATTAATAAAGAAATATTAAACACAATTGATACTCATAGTCACAGTCTACATAGTTCATTCACCCTTTTAATATATATAAGAAAAATGTCTATATACTCATCATATCACAGTGCACGAATAAAACAACCCTTTTGTACTTTCTTTCAAGTCTTCCTTCCAATACTCATTCCATTGCACTGTTCATTTCCATCTTCTGTTCCCTCTCTGATGTGAGAAGCCAAAGTGCAAGAGAAGAAAAGGGTGGATGTTAGTGTTGTGAGTGATGAGAGTGTAAGGCACACACAGCACATGGAAGAAGCAGAGAAGGAGTTAGAGAGAAGGACCAAGTTTCTGAGCAGTTTGATACAGAATAAGAAGAAAGCCATAGAACCTGATAATGATGATGATGATGGTGAGAGATTCAAGGTTCATGTCAGAGCTTGTGATATGCCACTCCCTTTGCAGAACCGTGCCTTCCATTGTGCACGTGTCCACCTGGAGTCTGTGCCACCTGGCAACAAGCTTGACAGTAAACGCCTCGCACTTGCCCTTAAGAAGGTCACAAATACTTTCTCTCGTTTACTTATCTTTTTAGAAAATTTTATTTTTTTCAATATCTGTTTTTGGGGTCTCATGCTCATCTTTGATGCATAATAATATGCAAATTATCAATAATGTCAGATTTGGAAGGTTTTGCTGTTATGGGAAAATGGTCACATATTGGAAATGGTTGTTATTAGCTCTCAATTCCTTGGCCGGAGTAAAATTAGTGTCTTTGTATGTGAGTTTTTAACTTAGATGCAGTTCCTTATTTCTGTAACCAATATTGATCTTTGATACAAACCTTTATTATACATATTACTTGATGAAACTTCAATTCTGATGAGAAACAACATTTAAAGCACATAAGAATTAAATCTAAGTTTTGTCTTATTTAACATTGGCTCTTTGATTTGCCTAGCTCAAGTTTACTTATTATTTTTTTAAGAAAAAAAAAACTAATCAGCAGATTAAGTATATGTTACCAAAACTATATGAAGATTTTGATTTTGGGTGTTGGATTGAGTCGGTTGGGAACATCTATGGTATGTGTCAGCCGGTTGGAACTGCATGTTTTTGTTGAGGAATGTGATACTCTCTTTCTAACATTCTCTATACTATTAGTTGGAATATATTAGAAATTATAAATTTGATGGGTCTCACTTTTATATCAGAAATTTAAAGAGACTCGTTAAATAAGAAGTGTGAGTGTGACCTACTAAAATTTGTGGTTTCCAATATATTTTGTCCAATAGTAGAGAGATTAATAGAAGTGTTAGAGTGAGTGTTGATAGCGTTACTCATTTTTGTTTCTTTGTCCTTCTTATTGGTAATATTTTGTTCACATATCTATGCTTTTCTCTTCCACGGCCAATGCTAGCACACATGGTCTAATAATTGTTTTTGTGTTTTATTGAGCATGCTGAAATAGTAGTTTTTCAATACTTGTGGAGTTGATGGAGAGATATTCTTTTCAATTGCTAATTTATGCTCCTACAGACTGCATATTTTTTCTGGTTTTCTATTCTATCTTGATCCTAAATTAATCCTCAAAATCACTCTCTGGAAGTCTTTGAACATATATTTGTGCTTCAAAAGTTTTATTGTGGTTCAGTGAAGTTTTCCGTTGCTTCTACCTCACCTTCCTCCCCAAGTGCACCAAGACCACAAATTCCCAGCTTGCAAAATCTCTTACTTTATTTTAGCAGTTTCTGGTACATATATTTCACCTACACTAGAGATTTCAGTTCTGTTTGCCATCTACTGTATATTAATATGTTTTGAAATCTTGTAATGAGATTGTATTGATAAATAATGTGGCAGGATTCCAGATCTGGTCCGACACAAAGTTGATCTTAAAATCTGTTTCTTTTTTCTCCTATCAGTGTTCTTGCTCTCTTTTTTCGGGTTCCCTGTATGGATCTGTGTGTGGTCAATTGAGCCTGAATTATAAAGAATGGTAATTGCTAAGAAAAAAATATCATTCCAAGCAAAGTGGTCTTATGTTGTTTGCAGTATTGGTCTTCCTCTTATCAGATTTTTCTCATTTCTTCTTTTCCCTAAAGAGTAAACAGTTACTTTCATCTATGAAAGTGAGTAAAGCATGCAGTACTTCCAATTGCAACTCTATACCCAAGGTGGAGATTGAATCTTGATCCTTGGTTAAGGAACACAATTATCGAATCACTTGTGGTAACAACTTTCAGTTAATTTTCTTAAATTTAGGAACTAATATGACAATTGCCAACACCTTCCAATTTCAAGGATTAAAATTACTGTTTACTCTTTTCCAAAATATTTTCTCTTCTAGCATATAAAAGTTACATGGGTGGTCAACCCTGTAAATGTTTCAAAAATGAGTTGAATGTCCTTGATAAGCCACTATTCCGAGACTGCTCCTTGCCACTTTTTATTAACGATATCAAACTACTAGACATGTCTAAAGGGTGAGTTAATGCGTAATGGTCCTACCGAATGGGGTTTGGGGAGAGTAGATGTATGCAATCTTGCCACCACCCTCTCCCCTGCCCCCAAGGAAGCAACCTTACAAAGTTCCAAGGCTCATCCTCTGCACAACTAGAGAAGACAAATGTTATGGAGTAAAATTATACACAGTTTCCTGTCATTAATTTGAAGGACCAAAGTCAAGAGTATCGTTGCACGTACTTTTTTTTCACCTCTGAACTTTATGATTATGATCTTATTTTGACAAGAAATATTTGATTGCATAGACATGTCTATAAAGAAATAGAAAGTGCAAAAGCAAAAGACATTAATCTACAAAACAGATTCCTCACTATTTATCACATGTATCCTCTTTTAGTTATATAAAATTAAAGGTTAGGGTGACTTGATTAAGATACTGTTACCATTTTTTATCTTTGGGGAAAATATGTATTATACAATAGGGAATTTGTCATTCAAAGGATTCAAAAAGGACCAAGCTTGTAATTTGAAAGGAACTGCAGATTTAAGAACGTAGAGATATAGTTAAAATGAAATGTTGGGAGTAGTCTTTACATTAGGTTTGGTCAAGAATGCACTGATTTTGCCTGCTTCATGAGCTCTATAGCTATTTCTATACTAAACATATCAACGTGAAAACAGATCAGAAGTGACACATTGCAGATTGCATGTTCTGTTCACAGCTGATCATAGTAAATGGAAGGGCATGATGAGATGCAGCTAACCTACTTGTTGCAGTCATGCACAAGAATTTGTGCAATAGTTGATGTTGAGCATAAGCTTAGCTATTTTCATTAAAATGATGAAGGTGGTTAATTATCCTTATGAGTTGGTATTTTTGTGGTTCACTAAAGGTAGCATGACTTTTATTTTTTGTTGTGACTCATCCCCATGTATTCAAGTATGGAGAAAATCTGGAAAGTATGTTTATTAGGTAATAGGTATGTTGTAATAATAATTAACAAATTGGGTGCTTTCTATAGGTTGTCCTTTTGTACTGAAAATGTTATTTGATCTCTCATTTCATTAATAAGGCTTCAAGGTTAGCAAATGATATTATTATAATATTAGGATTCCCATAACACAGTCACAAACAGCTTGCATATCTAGAATGTCTCTTGTTAGTCTTATAAAATGTATGTCAGGGACATTTTATGCAAGCTGTCAGTGTAAAGCCTTGGTCTTGCATTTTTATATGGTAAAAGTTGCTCTCTCCCATAGATGTAAGTCATATTGGCAGAACCACTTAAATCTTGTTGTGTTATTATATTAATCTTTTTGGTTTTTCTGTTGCAATCGTGTATTTTCTGCATAATTACGTTTTGTGTTATAGTTTCCTTTGGGTACTTTGTGTTTCTCGGATTGATATTGTGTAGGGTCTGTTCTTTTGGCTTTCTTTATTGTTCAAGATCAACAATGTGGATTAGTGGTAGCCAAATGTTTTTTGCTTCTTCACTGATTTATAATATTCAAATTGAAATTACTTGAAAACCTATTGCTACCAATCATTTTTTTTTTCCTCCTCTTAAACAAAGGTTTATTGAAGAGCTAGTAAGTTGTGTTACCTGGTATGAACTACTTGAATGGCTAATGATAGATAAATACTGGTCTTACAGGAATTTGATTCTTCATATGGTCCAGCTTGGCACTGCATTGTGGGTACTAGCTTTGGTTCGTATGTTACACATTCTGTTGGTGGCTTTTTGTACTTTTCCATTGATAAGGTTTATATCCTTCTCTTCAAGACTGCTGTTGAACCATTGGACCATTGATGACTTCCACAACTATGAGCCTGCCTCCTTGGGAAAATATATTTTAAAATTTAGAACCAGCTGATGTGTAAAATTACAAAGTGAAACATTTAAATACCTGTATTCTGTGATGTATTTGATGCACTTCTTTTTGGATTTATCGTCTGTGGGAGAGCATTTTGAATGCAGAATTTCTTGTGGCAAGTCACAAGATTTCATATTGTTCAGTTCACAGTAACATTTTATAGAATTATCCATCTGATGAAAAATGTTTGTAGATGATAAATTCGTGCACTAATTTGTATTTACAAGAATGCTAACTACAGCCTCTTAGGCATTTTTTTTTTCAAACACTCTTTTTAATATTGGCTAAAATTTATTAAAAACTATAAATTTTACAAGTCTTGTATATTGTTTAATGAGTCTCTCTCTTCACTCGGTTAATGGATCTACCAAAATATTTGATTTTCATCCAATAATAAAAAGAATATTAGTAAGAGAGTATTAATTAGAGTGTTATTAATATTTTTCTTTTTATTTAATGAAATGTGCACTTGGGGAAATGCTAGCATAAGTCATAGGGTTGATATATGATTTTTGGTCCATGAACACTGTTTATATAATATTCTAAAGTTAACAATCAAAATTGGTATGATTTTAAATATTTAAAAGTAGTAAGTTTTTATAAAAAAGAAAAGAAAACATTTATTACTAAAAATTATTGATAAAGATTTTTTTTTTTTTTTCAATAAAAGCTTATCATTTGTATATAAGTATGGACAAGAGCTAAGGTGAACTAGTATAATAGGTGGTTAGGGAACTACAATTATTCACCATTAGATTTATATAAGTTGCATAGTTATATTATGAACTCTATACAAATTTTTCTTCTTCTCAAACTCCTTTCCCTCATCTAGTGGCGGATCTTGGTAGTAACAGGGGAGCCACGACTCCCCCAAACTTTTCTAAATCTTTTTTATTTTATTTTATTATATA